ATGAATATGATATATGTGTGTTTTTACATCTAAATCTAAGAATATGAATATATATGCATATATCTATATGAATATGATATATGTGTGTTTATCTATATATCTAAAAATATGAATAAATGTTTGTATCTATATCTAAGAATATGAATATATATATGTATATGAATATGATATTTGTGTGTATCTATATTATAAGAATATCTAAGAATAACTATATCTAAGAATATGAATATATATATGTGTGTGTGTGTCTATATTATAAGAATATGAATATATCCATTTATGCATATTTCTATAACTGTCTGAATATGAATATTATATATATGTTAATACATATATGTATGTATTTCTATAACTATATCTGAACATGAATATTGATGTGTATATATCTACATCTAATAATATCTATATATGTATCTGTATATCTAAGAATACAAATATGTATGTTTGTGTATATTCTATATATTTAAGAATTTGAATTTATATATATGTATATGTAAATCTATGAATACATATGCGTGTGTAGCTATAACTGTATCTAAGAATATAAAAATATGTGCGTATTTCCGTATATCTGAATATGAATGTATATGTGTGCCTATATCTATGAATATATGTATATATGATATATCTACAGTATATATGAGAATATTTATTTTTTATATAAAATAAAAAATAAAATAAATGAGAATATGAATATACAGGTGTGTCTATATCTAAGGATTCATATATATGTGTGTATCTATGAATATGACTATACATATGTGTCTGTGCATATTTAAGACTACGAATATATATGTGTGTGTGCGCACATGCACCAAACTGCTTCAAAGTGACTCTGTCTCAAAAGTTGGCCAATCACAGCCTGGCTCCCATTTACATATGAATTCGGCCCTGCTGGCTTCTCCAATTTAATGTCATTTAATTTATGGAGCCGCCATTGGGAAGCAGGACATCCATCTAGGTCTTTTTGTCTGTGATGAAATGGGAAATTCGACACTGTCTGGGCACAGATTGGTTCCAGGGAGATGCCTAATATTATTAACTAATAGGGCAAAGTATGTGAGAGGAAGTCATAGGGAGGAGGGAGCAAGCTTGTTTTCTGCTGCCCTGGAGACTAGGACGCGGTGGAACAATGGCTTCAAACTACAGGAAAGAAAGAACATTAGGAAGAACTTCCTGACTGTGAGAGCTGTTCAACAGTGGAACTCTCTGCCCTGGAGTATGGTGGAGGCTCCTTCTTTGGATGCTTTTAAACAGAAGCTGGATGGCCATCTCTCAGGGGTGCTTTGAATGCAATTTTCCTGCTTCTTGATGGGTGGTTGGACTGGATAGCCCATGAGGTCCCAACTCTAGGATTCTATGATTCTATGAAATCGAGATATATACACACATATACATACAATGATGCCACCTAGAGGGCAGAGCTCGTAATTGACTCCATCACTCAGGCAATTTCCACGGCAACCTGCATCCTGGCCAGCCAATCAGAAGCAGTGAGGGCTCTTTAAGGCTGTCAAAGTCAGCATCCTAGGAATCAACAACAGCAATAATAATATTTCCTAAATTTCCTGGGGGAAATCAATGAAATAAATGACATCTAAACTAACTAAATAAATATAAATATAATTGAATCTATATATAAATGCTCTGTGCATAATGAGTACCTTAAAAACAAAAGAACCAATGAACGAAATAGCACCAAATTTGGCAACAAAACATCTCACAACACAAGGAGTGACCATCAGGCCTCCAGAACTGCAAGCACTATCTCAAGCAAATATTGGCAATTTATTCACACTGTCATTACTTGCAGCAACAGCCGATGTAGCTGTTCTGGTACAGCTGTACCAGGAGCTCCAACTTTATTTGCTTTGTATTAAATGTTTGCTTGCAGTCCTAGGTTTCAGGGACTCTGCAGATAGGTGGCTTCTTTGGTTGCAGTCATAGGGCAAGTCACCTGTCCATCATTGTTAAGTTTTGGTCCCGCCCTTTGCTCAGGGCAATTGGGAAGGGAGCCATTTTTAGTTAGTCTCAGCAAGGTAAACTTATATATAGGATGTGTGCAAGCTTCCCCTGTACAAAAGCTTCAACCCTTAAGACCTTCCGGGGGAGAAAGGTCTTAAGAGTCTCCAAAGAATTTCCAGGAAAACAGCCCTAAAGACCAAAGAACTCCAGCTGGAGAACATCTACTGCCTTGCTGGTAGGTCCACTCGACATTCGAGACGCAGTTCGACCTGGTAGCGGAGCCCACATCAGTAAGGGTTAGATTACAGTCAGCCTGGGAGAAGTTAAAAAGGGGATTTTCCTTTAAAGAAGAAGTTATTGAAGACAGTTGCCTGTTCTTCGTGGGCAAGATTAGGAATTCACCAGTTGCCTAAAAGCTTGGAATCATTTGCTTAACTTTACTGAAGACAAGAGAAGTTTCTGTTTGATTATTCATTAATAAAATACTTTGTTGTACTTCTCAAGCCATCTAAAGACTGTTTGTGGTGGAAACCTCTGAGAACTTCTCTTTAGGCCCCCTGGCTTCCCGCTGGGCAAAAGTTGCACATCCTGTTCTAAAGACAATTATTTACAGGCCCAGCGCGCGACAGAACAGTAGTGATGCAACCAAGTTGGGGTGGGGGATGTTGAATGCTCTCATTAAGGAGGCCAGACTTGGTGGAGGTGGTTGACAAGGGCGGAGCTGCAGGCTATTGAAGGCTGCTCTGCCCCCTGCTGTGCTCTTTGCTTCAGCGTGAGCTAGGAGGCAGGTTTCAACCCCCCCCCCCCAATTTTCAACCCCCCCCGAAAATTTCAACCCCTCCCGAAATTTTTTTCTGGCTACGGCCCTGGTGACCATCACTCAAAAAATTTTGATTTTGTCATTTGGGAGTTGTAGTTGCTGGGATTTATAGTTCACCTACAATCAAAAAGCATTCTGAACTCCACCAATGATGGAATTGAACCAAACTTGGCACACAGGCCTCCCATGACCAACAGAAAATACTAGCAGCATTTGGTGGACATTGACTTTGAGTTTGGGAGTTGAAGTTCACCTACATCCAGAGAGTACTGTGGACTCAAACAATGATGGATCTGGACCAAACTTGGCACAAATACTCAGTAAGCTCAAATGTGAACACTGGTGGAGTTTGGGGAAAATAACCTTGACACTTGGGAGTTGTAGTTGCTGGGAGTTATAGTTCACCTACAATCAAAGAGCATTCTGAACTTCAGCAACGATGGAATTGAACCAAACTTGGCACACAGTTCTCCCATGACCAACAGAAAATACTGGAAGGGTTTGGTTTGGTGGGCAGTGTCCTTTGGTCTTGGAGTTGTAGTTCACCTACATCCAGAGATCACTGTGGACTCAAACAATGATGGATCTGGACCAAACTCTACACGAATACTCAATATGTCCAAATGTGAACACTGGTGGAGTTTGGGGAAAATAGAATATTGACATTTGGGAGTTGTTTGCTGGGATTTATAGTTCACCTACAATCACAGAGCATTCTGAACCCCACCAAGATAGAATTGGGCCAAACCTCCCACACAGAACCCCCATGACCACCAGAGTGGGCCACAGCAATGCGTGGCAGGGGACGGCTAGTTTATTATATATATAGATCAAATAATAATAATAATTATTATTATTATTATTTCTAAATTTCCTGGGAGAATCAATTAATTAAAGTGTAAAGGTGTCCCCTAACATTAAGTCTAGTCATGTTATATTCTGGGGGCTAGTGCTTATCGCTAAGCCAAAGAGCAGGAGTTGTCCATAGACACCTCCAAGGTGATGTGGCCGGCATAATTGCATAGTGTGCTGCTACCTTCCTGCAGAAGTGGTACATATTGATCTACTCCCATTTGAATGTTTTCATACTGCTAGGTTGGCAAAAGCTGGGGCTAACAACAGGAGCTCACTCTGCTCCCTGTATCCGAACCACTGACCTTTCAGTCAGCAAGTTCAGCAGCTCAGCGGTTTAATCCGCTTAGCCACCAGGGGGCCCCATCAATTAATTACTTACACATAAAATAAATAAATAAATAAATAAATAAATAAAAATGAATTAAATATATACATTAAATATATTATCGACAATAATAACAACAACACATTTCCTGTGGGAATCAATACAAATTAATTATGCATAAAATAAATCAATACACAAAATTAGTTAACTATATAGATTAATTAAATATCACTGAATTAATTGCATATAAATTGACTGAAAATAAAGAAATTAATAACATGCATCAAGGAACTGAAAATACTGATTAATTAGTTACAGATAAGTTAGTCACATGTCAATCAATCTAGACTTATAGAGGAATTAAATATCAATTATAGGGCCATATAGCCCGAAAAAACCGACAACAACCCTAAATATCAATTAATTATACATTGATTAATTAATTAAATATAAACCAATTAATAAAAATAAACAGATTAACTCAATGTCAATTACTTAATTATACATCAATTAATTAAATAAATAAATATAAACCAATTAATAAATATAAATTAACTAAAAGTCAATTAGTGAAGTAAACATAAATTAAATATAAAGCAATTAATAAATATAAACTGATTAACAAAACATCATTTAATTATGCAACAATTGATTCAATATGAACCAATCAATAAAAATAAATAGATTAACTCAATGTCAATTAATTAATTATGCAGCAATTAATTAATTATGCAGCAATCAATTAATTATGCAGAAATTAATTAATTAAATACATATATAGAATTAAATACATAGATGAATTAAATACCAGTTGATTAAATGCAATTAATTCTTAAGTGTATTGCAACTCATATTATATATTTGGAATGATAGGAGCAGCTAACTACAAGCCCCACAATGCAACGCTGGTATCAAAGCAGCTGAAACCCGGAAGCAGGTGGGCAAAAGCATGGCCCACACGCTGCCCTCTGCTATTGGTTGTTCGATTGTCAATCACCGGAAGAGGCGCGCACTGATTGGGCAGGAGGATTTTTTCCGCTCCGCCTCCTTTGGAGCAACCAGACCAAACATGTACATTTCACCTTCTTTCTTTCTCCCTTGATTTTTCCCTCTCTTTCTTTTGCAAGTTGTTCTTCATCAAAATGGTAAGTTTGAACTGATTTTGGAAGTCCTTCCAAATAAATAGATCAAACATATAAAATAAAATTAATAGAGTAATAATTATTTCTTAACTGGGTAACTATGATTTAAAATGTCAGAGATCCTAACTCTATGAAAATCATAAGTGGATTGCTGTGAGTTTTCCAAACTGACTGGCCATGTTCCAGCAGCATTCTCTCCTGATGTTTCTCCCACCTTTATGGCAGGCATTCTCAGAGGTTGTGAGGTCTGTTGGAAACTAGGCAAGTGAGGATAATGTCCAGGGAGGAAGTGTTGCAATTGGCCAGCTTGATTAGCATTGAATGGCCTTGCAGCTTCAAAGCCTGGCTGCTTCCTGCCTGGGGGAATCCTTCCTTGGAAGGTGTTAGCTGGCCCTGATTGTTTCCTGTCTAGAATTCCAGACCTCACAATGTCAGAGGATGCCTGCCATAGATGTGGGCGAAACATCAGGAGAGAATGCTTCCGAAACATGGCCATACAGCCCAGAAAACTCACAACACCAATTTATTATCAATATTTATTCATAACATGTATTGTATATGAATATTATGTATTACCCTTTGTGCATATTTATTTGTGCATGTGAGTATCTCTAAAATATTTATTATAAATGAAAATATTTGTCATACACATTTATTTGAATTTGAATTAGTATTTATTGTGTTTTGGAAATGCTTATTATGACACATGAATATCTATACAATAAATATTGATTATCAATAGATCTATTTAATATACAAATTTATTATATGAACATTATATATTATATTTTATAAGTTTTATTTGTATGTAATGTTAAATAATGGCATTATATATTATATCTATAAAATAAATACGTATTTTTACTTATTTATTTATTAATAAATAAAAATACGTATTTTTATTTATTAATATATTATCAATATATATTTATTATATGTATTCATTATACATATTGATTTAATATTTATTTTTATGAATACTATATATTGTATAAATTTTCATTTGTGTATAATGTTAATTAATTACAATATATATGAATATCTTAAATACCTATTTTATTTATTATCAATAGCTATATTTATTTTACATATTTATTTAATATTAATTTTTTATGAATATTATATGTTATATTTTATAAATTTTCATTTGCATATAATGTTATTTATAATATTTAGGGATGTTTATTAAATAAATACTTATTTATTGTCAGTAGATACATTTTTATACATTTATATCAATATTCTTCAAGATATTTTATGAATATTTTATTAGAATATCTAATATAATATTAATATATTATATTATATAGTAATAGTATTGTATATATGTATATATTAATTTTAATTTTAATATATATATATACATATTAACATTATATATATTAATATTAATATTGTATGTATATATGTACATGCACACACATATTTCATTTTTTAAGCCATTTACAAAGTGTATATCCCATTCAGGGAGGCACAGCGGGTTAAACTGACTGAAAGGTTGGTTTGAATCCGGGGAGCAGAGTGAGCTCCCACTGTTAGCCCCAGCTTCTACCAACCTAGCAGTTTGAAAACATGCAAATGTGAATAGATCAATTGGTACCGCTCCAGCGGGAAGGTAACAGTGCTCCATGCAGTCATGCTGGCCACATTACCTTTGAGGCGTCTATGGACAATGCTGGCTCTTCGGCTTAGAAATGGAGATAAACACCMCCCCCCCCCCCCAGAGTTGGACATGAATAGACTTAATGTCAAGGGAAAACCTTTACCTCATTTAGTTTTATAGATGGCCTCTTTCGGGACTGATTTACTTGTGCCTTGCTGCTTAATCCCTTCTGTGCTTTGCCTAAGTAACCTGACCGTATCACGTTTCCCATTTGCTTTTAAAAATAGATCGAGAAGGTCAATTTATACACATTATTATCTGGCATGAAGCCAGGTCCGTGTGCCTTTAGCCTTCAGGAAACAGAAAGATGCTACTCTCTCAGCTTTTTGGCCTGGATCTGGGTTCAAATCCTGCTCTTCCAGGCTTTGCATTGGCCTCCCAAGCCTGCTGTTATTATCATTCCAGGGCATCTAGATTGTAGAATACAGTGCAGCTTGGCACTGCTTTACCCATTGTGGGATCCTGGGAGTTGCAGTTCCTCAAGGTCTTGTTTTTTCCTCTTTTCGGCAGGCGGTGATGGGGATCCAGCTGGTCGTCTCTCTCCTTGTGGCCAGCGTCATGCAGAAAATGGCTCCTCACTGGTCCTTTGCCCGATGGCTGCTTTGCAATGGAAGGTAAGACAAATTGCAGGGTGGGGGCGGGGGGGACACCCCAATTTTGGTACTAGTGTCCTGTTGCATCCAAACAAAGTTAGACTATATGACCTTTGGGACTCCCTTCCAACTCTTATTCCTAGGATCCCTTTACATCCAAATGGGGAAGGGCTACATGACCTTTAAGGCCCCTTCCAACCCTTATGGATCTAGCATCGCTTTATGACCTAATGAGGTTGGATTAGATGGCATTTGAGACTCCCTTCTGACTCTTAGTCTTAGCACTCTTTTGTGACCAAATGGGGTTGGGCTAGATGACCTTTGGGGCTCCCTACCAACTCTTACAGACCAAGCACCCCTTTATGACTGAATGGGGTTGGACTAGATGACATTTGGGTCTCCCTTTCAATTTTTACAGACCAAGCATCCCTTTACAGCCAAATGGGGTTGAACTAGATGACCTTTGGGGTTCCCTTCCAAATCTTATGGACCTAACATCCCTTTACATCCTAATGGAGTTGGACTAGATTACCTTTAGGGCTCCTTTCCAACTCTTTACAGAACTAGCATCCCTTTATGACCGAATAGGATTGGACTACATAATTTTTGGGGCTACCTTCCAATTCCTACAGACTAAGCATCCCTTTATGACATAACTGGGAGGTGGTGAGTGCCCTGGAATCAATTGTTTTGGAGGAAGCATTCCATCATTCACAATTGTGCCTTTTCGTTGCCTTTGTCTTGCCAGCTTGTATCGATACAAGCATCCGTCTGAAGAGGAGCTCCTCGCCTTGGCGGGCAAGCAGAAGCCAAAGGGCAAACGGGACCGGTGAGTTGTGCATCACATGGGGTTGGACTAGATGTACTTTGGGGTCCTTTCTAGGTCTTAGGCTCCTGAAGACCCCTGGGCCAAATGGGGTTGGACTAGATGACCTTTGGGGGTCCCTTCTAGAACTTAGGCTCCTACAGTCCCTTCCTGGCCAAATGGGGTTGGACTAGATGACCTTTGGCGGTCCCTTCTAGGTCTTAGGCTCCTACAGTCCCTTCCTGGCCAAATGGGGTTGGACTAGATGAACTTTGGGGATCCCTTCTAGGTCTTAGGCTCCTACAATCCCTTCATGGCCAAATGGGGTTGGACTAGATGACCGTTGGGGGTCCTGTCTAGGTCTTAGGCTCCTATGGTCCCTTGATGGCCAAATGAGGTTGGACTAGAAGACCTTTGGCGGTGTCTTCTAGGTCTTTGGATGCTACAGTCCCATGATGACCAAATGGGGTTGGACTAGATGACCTTTGGGTGTCCCTTCTAGGTCTTAGGCTCCTATAGAAACCGCATTGAGTCGCCTGTTTGGGCTGAAAAATGCGGTATAGAAATAAAGCAAATAAATAAATAAATAAATAAATATAGTCCTTCCATGGCCAAATGAGGTTGGACTAGATGATCTTTGGGTGTCCCTTCTAATTCTATTGCAATTCAAAGGCCTTTAAACAGAGGTTGGTTGGCCACCAACTTTGTGTTAGCACCACCCTATGGTCAGCTCAGGTCTTGCAAAGCCTCTTTGCCAGGGATATCATCCATCGGTTTATAAATAATTGTCACCCGTTTAATATTTGATACTTTTGCAGGAGGATGAATGGCGTGACGGACGAAAAGCCTTCCTCAGTGCCTCGAGACATTGATCTGCATCTAGAGAGCAGCCCCATCATGGCTGTGGATGCACTGGGTAAATGATTCTGGGTTGGGATAATGTGGGTGGACTAGATTACCTTTGGGGGTCCCCTTTGAAATTTCATGGTTTGGAAAGGGTTAAGGTTAGGCCTTCAAGCGGAAATCTAAATGGGCCTCTATTGCTCAGCGGTGGAATGGGGTGAGACTAGATGACCTTTTGAGTACCTTCTTTTTTCCTTCTTTCCTTTTTCAGTTCTATCTTATTTCCTGGAGTATCAGTGGTACGTGGATTTTGCCGCCTACTCTGTCCTGGTTTACCTTTTCACCGAAGGCTATTATTGCTTTGTGGATCCGAGGAAAGAAGCCAACATTGGGATCCTGTGGTGCTTGCTGACAGTCTTCTTCTCCGTGTATCCCATCGAAAACTATTCATACAAACTAGAATGGCGTTTGCCTTTTTCGCTGCAGTGCCACATACATGCCAAGGTCTCTTTTTGCATGAGCCTTTCCTATTTCGTATAATATAGGTGCCATCCTTAACTCTTCCCCGCACAAAGCAAAATCTTCTTCATGGTGATGCGGCACTACTTCCGCTCCAAGGAAGGCGGGGAGCGCTCTGTGTGCCTGGCCTTCGCCTTCTTCTTCCTCTTGATCGCCATGATCATCCTAGTCATCCGCGAAGATTACCTCGAGTTTGGCCTCGAGGCAGGTGAGAGGTTCTGGGTTCAGGTCAGGACGGTTCTGGGTTTGAGTCCCGACACTGTTGTAACCTCTGCTTCCATTGCTTCCCATTGAAGGGTTGACAGAAGTCAGTGACCGGCTGGAAGTCTTCCTACAAGAACAAGGCTGGGAATGGACGTAAGTGGGGATGATAGGAGTTGCAATCTAACGAAAATATCCTAGAGGCCAGCAGCTAATTTTTCTATCTGAATACTGCCATCTTGTGGTTGCATCTCAGCACTACATACATATTTAGGAACCAGCAGCTAATCCTTTCTATCTATTGATTGCCCTGTTATGGTTGCACTGAAGACTGTATATATATATATTGTGTTTGAATCTGAGTACTGGATACATACTTAGAGGCAGTAGCTAATCCTTTCTAACTCTATTCTGCCGTCTTGTGGTTGCATTTGAGCACTACATACATATTTAGGAACCAGCAGCTAATCCTTTCTATCTATTGATTGCCCTGTTATGGTTGCACTGAAGACTGTATATATATATTTTGTTTGAATCTGAGTACTGGATACATACTTAGAGGCAGTAGCTAATCCTTTCTAACTCTATTCTGCCGTCTTGTGGTTGCATTTGAGCAGTGCATACATGTTTAGGAGCCAGTAGCTAATCCTTTCTATTTATATATTGCCCTCTTGTRKTKSCATCTGAGTACTGCATACATAGAAGCCAGCAGCTAATCCTTTCTATCTCTATACTACTCTCTTGTGGTTGCACTTGYGCACTTACATCAGTAGCTAATCCTTTCTATCTCTATACTGACCTCTTGTGGTTGCATTTGAGCACTCACATCAGTAGTAAATCCTTTCTATCTCTATACTACCCTCTTGTGGTTGCACTTGAGCACTTACATCAGTAGCTAATCCTTTCTATCTCTATACTACTCTCTTGTGGTTGCACTTGAGCACTTACATCAGTAGCTAATCCTTTCTATCTCTATACTACCCTCTTGTGGTTGCACTTGAGCACTTACATCAGTAGCTAATCCTTTCTATCTCTATACTGACCTCTTGTGGTTATATCAGAGTACTGTATACATCTTACGATTTCTTCCTTTTCGGACAGGATCCCTGTGAGCAAGCTGACCTTCAAACTGGCGCTGGTAGGCGCCTGTTCCTTCCTCGGCGGCTGTTTGACTTTCCCCGGATTGCGACTGGCACAGACTCACCTGGACTCCCTTAAGATGACTGCTGACTGTCCGGCAATCCAGTTACGTAGCGAATTTTAAGTGAAGCTGAGAGAGTGTGGTTACACAATGAGGTTTGCATGGCCAAACGGGGATTTGTACCCAGGACTCTGGAGTCGAACCAGGCTCACCAACTATTACTTACCCTTGTACATCAGAAATTATATTATCATTAATATATTAATGTCATATTATTAATATTATATATTGTTAACATTATTACTACTTAGCTTTCTACATACAAAATTATATTATTAATATTATATTATTAGTATTTTATAGATATATATATATATATACACACACATATTTGATATTATTACTACTTGCCTTTCTACATCCAAAATTATTATTCTATTAATATTGTATTATTAATATTATATATTAATAATATTATCAATATTACAATTACTTGTGTTTGTACACCCCAAAATGTTGTTATTATATTTTAATATTATATTAACATTATTCTATTATTATTACTAATATAATAATAATAATTTTTGACATACATAGGGAAGTAGTAGTTGTTACTTTGTCTTACAATGTTATTCTGCTTTACCAGTTCTGTAAAGTTCAGACTAGGCCGAAAAAACCTACAACAACCCAGTGATTCCCAGTGAAAGCCTTCGACAATACAATAATATTACTACTTGCCTCTGTACATCCAAAATTATTGCATTGTTAATATTATATTATTAAATATAATAATTATATTATTTATATTATATTATGCCTTTAATAATTATATTATTAAAGGCAAGTAGTAGTTGTTATTTTGCCTTACCAGTCATTGCCATTTTGCCTTACAATTTTATTTTGCCTTGAAATTCCGGTAAAGTTTGGACCAGAACCTGGAGTGCATTGGCTGTTCCGACAGAAAGGTATCCATTTGGTGCTGATCCTCATTTTCCTCTCACTTTCCTCCCCGGCTCTGCAGGCTCCTCCTCCACGCCAGCTTCCTTGCGCCTGTGATCGTGGTCTTCATGTGGATCAAGCCAGTCTCCCGGGATCTCCTCTTGCGTGCCCCGATGGGGAAGGAGACCGTCCAGATGTGAGTGGCAGGAGGGTAGTCATCGGTTGCATTCCCGCAGCACTTTCCCCCATCTATAGAATGGAGCTTTTCCACAGCTTTTGGGTTACATTGTATTCTGATAGGTGTTGCTGTTTTGGTGGATCAGCGCGAGGATTCGCACTCTGTGCCGACCCCTTTCTCTCTCTCTCTTTGTCTTCGCCCATATTGCAGCATGTCTGATGCCACTTACGACTCGGTGCGACTCTGGACCGTTGTGGGGCTGTGCGTCCTGAGGCTGGCTGTCACTCGAATTCACCTCCAAGCCTACCTGAACCTGGCCGACCGATGGGTGGACCAGATGAAGCGGGAAGCTGGGCGGATTCCTGTCCTGGAGATCCAGCGGAAGGTATGAGTTTCCTCAGACCAAAGGAAGCAATGTTATTTTGCCTTACCATTCCTGCAAGGTTCAGACTGGAACCTAGAGCAATTTTCTGTTGTATTAATATTATATCAATATTATATTACATTAATATTATATCATATTACATTAATAATTTGTATTACCGTAAAAACCGGGGTAATAGACGACTTTTTAAACCTTTAAAATCCTTTGAAAACTTGGGGGTCGTCTTGTCTTCCGGACATATTAGATGACGAATGGCAGTGGAGCCGAGGCAGCGGAGGAGAACATCCGCCCGCAGCGGCCTGCCCTCCGACCTCCTTCCTCACGCTGCCTCTTTCCTCACTGGGCCCAGCTGGGGCCCAACGGAGCGTCTGGCACCTTTCCCTCCTCTGTCCTCGCCCCGCAGATGCCTTCCTCGGCGGTGGAGGTGCACACGGGATGGGAGAGGAGGGAAAGATGCACCCTGCGCTGTCTTCTGCAGCTGGTGCACACCTTTCCCTCCTCTCTCATCCCGTGTGCGCCTGCCGAGGAAGGCATCTGCGGGGCGAGGACGGAGGAGGGAGACCTGCGCTGGTGAGCGCGCTCACCCCTGCTGCTTCCGGAGAGGCTTCCAGCATGTCTACAGGCTCCTGCAGCAGCGCGGCGTGGGCCAGACGCTCCGTTGGGCCCCAGCTGGGCCCAGTGAGGAAAGAGGCAGCATGAGGAAGGAGGCCGGAGGGCCGCCTTCCTCACGCTTCCTCTCTCCTTCCTGGACCCAATTGAGGCCAATGGAGCGTCTGGCCCTTCGCCTGCCCCGCTCTCTCGCCGATAGCGAGGGTGCAAGGTAGGCGAGGAGGCCTCTGCGCGAGGCCTGGCGTTGTGTAAGCCCTCCTCGCCCGCCCCGCTCTCTCGCCAATGGCCATCGGCGAGAGAACGAGGCAGGCGAGGAGAGCTTCCGCGATGCCAGGCCTCGCGCGGAGGCCTCCTGGCCTGCTTTGCACCGTCGCCATCGGCGAGAGAGCGAGGCAGGCCAGGAGGCCTCCGCGCGACGCCTGCCGTCCCAGAAGCCCCTTGTCGCCTGCCTCGCGCTCTCGCCAATGGCCTCCGCGCGAGGTGAATGGGGAAAGCAACAGCGTGAGAGGAGACTGAAGGGAAGAGAAGAGGTTGCAAGGCAAGCGAAAGAGCGAAGGAACAGGGACCCAGATAACCCAGTCCCCTTCCACACAGCTGAATGAAATCCCACATTGTCTGCTTTGAACTGGATTATCTGTGTCCACACAGCCAGATAATCCACTTCAGTGTGTATTTTATGCAGCTGTATGGAAGGGGACCCAGAGAACCCAGGCCCCTTCCACACAGCTGAATGAAATCCCACATTATCTGCTTTGAACTGGATTATCTGAGGCCACACTGCCAGATAATCCACTTCAATGTGTATTTTATGCAGCTGTATGGATGGAGCCCCAGATAACCCAGTCCCTTTCCACACAGCTGAATGAAATCCCACATTATCTGCTTTGAACTGGATTTCTGAGTCCACACAGCCAGATAATCCACTTCAATGTGTATTTTATGCAGCTGTATGGAAGGGGCCTCAGATAACCCAGTCCCCTTCCACACAACTCAAGTTTGGTCCAATTTAATTGTGGTTGGATTTCAGAATGCTCTTTGATGGCTGGGGAACTAAACACCCCAAGTCCCAAATGCCAAGGTCTATTTTCCCAAAATCTCTCCAGTGTTTTCTGTTGGTCGTGAGAGTCCTGCAGGCCAAGTTTGGTCCAATTTAATTGTTGGAGTTCAGAATGCTCTTTGATGGCTGGGGAACTATACATCCCAACAACTCCCAAACGCCAAGGTCTATTTCCCCCAAACTCCACCAGTTCAAATTTGGGCATATTGAGTATTCATGCCAAGTTTTGTCAGATCTATGGTAATTTGGGTTCACAGTGCTTTCCAGATGTAGGTGAACTACATCTCCCATAAATCACTGTCAATTCCTCCCAACCTCCTCCAGTATTTTCTGTTGGTCATGGAAGATTCTGTGTGCCAAGTTTGGTCCAGGCCAGTAATTCATGGGGAATCTCAGTGGTCTGTGGAAGTCAGAGTTGAATTGGTTGAAGGTACTGATCCCATCATCCGTTGTCCATACTCCCCAAACATATTGTTTTTGTGATTAATCACTATGCTTTAATTATGTTCAATTTGTAACAATGAAAATACATCCTTCATATCAGACATTTACATTACATTTCATAACAGTAGCAAAATTACTGTTATGAAGTAGCAACGAAAATGTGGTTGGGGGTCACAACAACATGAGGAACTTTATTTAAGGGTCACGGCATTAGAAAGGTTGAGAACCACTGGCCTAAAGGATATCTTCCAACTTTTATTAGTATTAATGTTATTGTTGTTGTTATTGAGGCTGGGTGGCCATCTGTCAGGGCTGCTTTGAGTGTGCTTTCCCTGTATGAAGGCAGAATGAAGGGGGTTGGACTAGATGGCCTTTAGAGCTCCCTTCCAACGCCATTATTAATATTAATAAGACTAGATAGCCATTTGTCGAGAGTGCTTTGATTGTGCTTTCCCCGCAAGAAGGCAGAATGAAGGGGGTTGGACTAAATGGCCTTTAGAGGTCCCTCCCAACTTTAGGATTCTGTGAAAGGAATCTTTGTCGAACATGAGCCAGTAGTATGATGCTGCAGCTAAAAAGGCCAATGCTGTTTTAGGCTGTGTCAATAGGAGAAGCCTGAGAAAAGGCAAAAGGGAACTGATATGACACTTTACCTTGGCTGGTTTTTATAATTGCTTTAAATGAGAATTATTTCATGCAACAGTTTATTTTAACTTATTGCCAGCATGATGTAAAGGACCCAGAGTATAAATGAAATTCAAGGGAGAAAGAGCAAATGTAATGTACAATGTAAGGTACAATGTCCCTCTCATGGGAACCTGCATGTCATAAGCATTTGAATTAAAATTACCATCTTGAATTCAAATCTGATTTTTAATTTTTTTTATTTAGTGTGCATTGGAAGAGGGGTGGTCTTATACGGCGAGTATATCCCAAACTCTGTATTTTAACTGAAAAAATTGGGGGTCGTCTTATACGCCCAGTCGTCTTATATGCCGGAATATACGGTATATTATATGATTAATGTTATATATTATTATTATTAATAATAATAATATTTGCCTCTGTAACTCTGAAATTATTATTATATATTTAGTTTTTTTTTTGTTCTTCTTACTTTCCCTGCCCAGATCACCCGAATCTACTGCTACGTAACGGTGGTCAGCTTGCAGTATTTGGCCCCAATCATCCTCACCTTGCATTGCACTTTCATCCTCAAGACTCTGGGTAAGAAAGTACTACCGTCGAGGCTATATCTCCCAACTTGACAGATTTTGAATTATTTCCATATAAGGACTGTTCTGCTTGGAGAATTTTCTAATCAATAAATACAATATAAGGGAGAATTGTGTGCATTGGGCCACTGGAAAGCTGAGGTGACAGTCTCTCAGCCGCTTTTATGTTCTCAGACCTTTGCAGGATGGAGCCTGGGAGTTGTAGTTTTGCAAGGTCTTTAGGTCTCCACTGCACTTGAAGTCCCTGTAGTAAATTTACTAGAATCTGCAATGGAGAATGAGGAACATTCGACACTACTAAACCGCTGAATTTTATGTTGCCCTGGGAGTTGTTGTTTCATAAGGTCCTTGTTAGATGTATCTTGTGTCCCTATATATGGGGAGAAAGCTGGGGTCAAAATAATGTACATGACTTGATGTCATGGCACCCGTGGAGTTATCGTTTCATAGGGTCTTTAGTCTTTGTTTGACGCATCTTGTGTCCCTATCTATGGGGAGAAAACTGGGATCAAAATAATGTACGTGACTTGATGTTATGACACCTTGGGAGTTGTAGTTTCATAGGGTTGTTGGCCTTCACCGGCTGCATCTCCACTGTGAAATGAACGCCATTCAAGCAAACTCAATGCTATTGAAACTTAGGAGTTGTAGTTTGGGCTGAGAAGGCAAAAGACCCAATAAAACTGCAACTCCCAGAATCCCATAGCAGTGGGAGCAGTACCAATGCAGTGCTGCATATAAATATCTAGTCAAAAGGGGTAGAAATGCTGCCTTGAATTTCCCTGGCTATGGGTTCAAGTTAGAACCCTGGTTACGTGTTAGGAAGAGAATGTACCCATTTTTCCATTGTTTCTTCCCCTCCTTTTAAAAGGTGAATACTCCTGGGGTTTGTACCCTGAAGCAGACTTTGCCCCCGAGCCAGTCTCAACCCCTCGACCTGCTTCTGTGGACAAAACCGGGGCGGATGAGGTCCAGGTCACAGTGGCACAAATCACCGGGACTCTCGGTACTTTGGGATCCGTCTTGACGCCGCTCTTCTACCGCGGGCTGTTCTCGTTCTTCGCTTGGTGGGTCTCTGCCTGCCAAGTCGTTGCCACGCTCTTCGGCCTCTACTTCCACCAGCACTTGGCCGCCTCCTAACTCCACCCAGTTCGGCCAACTCTTCTCTCCGCTGTTACAAATCACGGGGACTTTGGAATTTACCTGTGTTTGAACCGCTTGCCGCGAGTCCGGATTTTGAGTGTGCTCCCACTTCAATGCTGGCCGAGCCTTTCCTCTGCTTCTATTCTAGAGAACTTTGTTGTTCTGCCTACATTTTGGTGAAGCTCAGCTTATATTCATTCTGTTTTCATTCCAAATTTCAAGTGATCCACATTCTGTTTTCGAGAAGATTCTGGGAGATTAGGATGGGAACCGTTCAGATTCATAATTCTGCAATCCGGAGTTCAGTTTCCGTAAGAACCTTCCCAAAAACAGAATGGAGTGGAGACTGGATCTGAAATTTGGAAGGAAAACGGAGAGAAAACAGAAAGGATTTCTGCCATTTCAAAACAAAAACAGAACGAAAACAGAAAGGATTTCTGCCATTTCAAAACAAAAACAGAACGAAAACAGAATGGATTTCTGCTGCTTCAGAACAAAAGCAGAGCAAAAACAAAATGGAATTTTGACATTTCAAAATGAAAACAGAATGGATTTCTGCCATTTCAGAACGAAAGCAAGACAAAAACAGAATGGATTTCTGTTGTTTCAAAATGAAAATAGAACAATCAGTTCTTGTGGGTTTTTTCGGGCTATATGGCCATGTTCTAGAGGCATTTCTCCTGACGTTTCGCCTGCATCTATGGCAAGCATCCTCAGAGGTGAGGTCTGCTGGAACTGGGAAAAAAGGGGTTTATATATCTGTGGAATGACCAGGGTGAGACAAAGGGTTTTGGAAGTTGGGCTAGGTGTGAATCTTTCAACTGACCACCTTGATTAGCATACAATGGGCTGACTGTGCCTGGAGCAAACTCTTCTTGAAAGATGATTAGATGTCCCTGCTTGTTTTTCTCTCTGCTGTTTTTGCTGAGCTGCTCAGCTGAAAATAGAACAGATTTCTGCTGTTTCAAAACGAAAACAGAATGGATTTCTGCCGTTTCGAAAGAAAACAGAACAGATTTTTGCCATTTCGAAACAAAAACAGGACTGATTTCTGCCGTTTTGAAACGAAAACAGAACAGATTTCTGCCATTTCGAAAAGAAGATGGAACAGATCTCTGCTGTTTCGAAACAAAAACAGAATGGATTTCTGTTGTTTGAAAATGAAAATAGAACAGATTTCTGCTGCTTCAAAACGAAAACAGAATGGGTTTCTACCATTTCAAAATGAAAACAGAACAGATTTCTGCCATTTCGAAAATAAAATGGAACAGATTTCTGTTGTATTGAAATGGATTTCTACCGTTTCGAACACACTCCAGTTTCATTTTGGGAAAGCCTTTAGCCCATCGATATTTCACTCTCCATGCGCCCAAAAAAAGGCAGTTATGAAATTGCACCGTTCCATTCGGGCACCATTTTGCGACTGCCTTTTTTCCAATGTTTTGAAAGATCTTTCAGTATGAATGCGATAGGAGCAATGTCGCACCCTCCCTCTCCCACCACTTTATGGGGAAATCCTGGAACCAAGCCTTTGCAGATACCAAAGGCCCCCGTTGTACAACACACATATATTTGATACGTTTTATGAACTGTATATAGAAATCGGTTATAGATACGCAATTATCTTGGATAAATGAAAACTGTATATGATTTGTTCAATAAATTTGTTAGTTGGAGACCTCTTAGCTGTTTCTAATTACTGTCTAATCATTGGTTCAATGATGCTTGAAAAATGCTTGGTTTTAGAATCAGAAAAGTTCCCCATAAAGGTAGTAGAACAGGCAGATACAGTTTTCCCTCACTACTTCGTGGTTCACTTGACCTGGACTCACAGTTTTGTGGGGTTTTGTAAATATTAATATACAATATAATAATAATCTCAAATATAAAATATTTACATCATCAGAAAGGGAGGCTGGTGTGCTGGCTCTGCTTGCCCTCCCACGACTTGGAGCGCTTGTGCGACCACTCCTTCCCCCGGCCCATTCCAAGGGAACCTGCCTGCCTCCCTGGCCTCCGCAGACCCCGGCAGAGCCTCTGGAGCCACGCAGGCAGCAGCAGGCCAGGGAGGCAGGCCTTCCTGCACTTCAGGCTGCTGCTCTGCCGGGGTCTGCGGAGGCCAGGGAGGCAGGTGTTCCCCACTGTGCCTCAGGCCACCGCACTTCCAGGGTCCTAAGGCATGGTGGGGAAGGCCTGCCTCCAGCTCTCCGCAGACCCTGGAAGTGCAGCAGCCTGAGGCGCAGCGGGGAAGGCCTGCCTCCCTGGCCTGCTGCTGCTTGCATGGCTCCGGAGGCAGGTAATGAAGCATGGGTAAGAAAATCCGCAAAGTTAGCACATACTCCAGAGGACAGGAGCAGAATTCAAAACGATCTTGACAGATTAGAGAGATGGGCCAAAACTAACAAAATGAAGTTCAACAGGGACAAATGCAAGATACTCCACTTAGGCAGAAAAAATGAAATGCAAAGATACAGAATGGGGGACAATGCCCCAAAAAGATCTTGGAGTCCTCGTTGACAACAAGTTAAACATGAGCCAACAATGTGATGTGGCGGCAAAAAAAGCCAATGGGATTTTGGTCTGCATCAATAGGAGCATAGTGTCTAGATCTAGGGAAGTCATGCTACCCCTCTATTCTGCTTTGGTTAGACCACACCTGGAATATTGTGTCCAATTCTGGGCACCACAATTCAAGAGAGATATTGACAAGCTGGAATGTGTCCAGAGGAGGGCGACTAAAATGATCGAGGGTCTGGAGAACAAGCCCTATGAGGAGCGGCTTAAGGAGCTGGGCATGTTTAGCCTGAAGAAGAGAAGGCTGAGAGGAGATATGATAGCCATGTATAAATATGTGAGAGGAAGCCACAGGGAGGAGGGAGCAAGCTTGTTTTCTGCCCCCCTGGAGACTAGGACGGAACAATGGCTTCAAACTACAAGAAAGGAGATTCCATCTGAACATAGGAAGAACTTCCTGACTGTGAGAGCCGTTCAGCAGTGGAACTCTCTGCCCCGGAGTGTGGTGAAGGCTCCTTCTTTGGAAGCTTTTAAACAGAGGCTGGATAGCCATCTGTCAGGGGTGATTTGAATGCAATATTCCTGCTTCTTGGCAGAATGGGGTTGGACTGGATGGCCCATGAGGTCTCTTCCAACTCTTTGATTCTATGATTCTATATTCATTTTAATATTTATACATTATGCTAAAATAATGTATAAATAATAAAATTAATATAGCGTCCCTACTTTACGGATTTTCACTTATCGCGGGTGGTTCTGGAACGGAACACCTGTGATACATGAGGGAACACTTTAAACTGTTTCAAGCAAAAGCCTCAATGTCTACAAACGGTACTTTTATTTGTTAACAAACAGCAGGACCACCTGACACATAGCATTCTTTTATCAGCACTAAAGATCCCCTTATAAAGCTTTATATGTCTCGTTGCTCATAGGATCATCAATTACACCCTTTGTACCAGTATGGGATTTCAAACCCTTTTATTTATTTTCTCCAACGTCCCCATTGATAGTCCCGGCCAAACAGGCCTTGTTTGTGTACAACACTCATATGTCCCAGGTTGAGCTTTATGGCATGACCTCAAAGCAGTCGCTACACCTTCCACATCCAGTTGGATCGCAAAGGAAATCACAGCAATCCAGAAACATCTGGATTTGAGTGTGATCTCTATTGGGCTCAGTGCATGAATAAGGCTGACAATGATTAATTACAGTTTCTGCACAGAGCCCCGCCACACACTTCCGTACAATAGCAATGACTTTCAAAGTAGTTGGTGCTTTGAAAAGTTCAGGGATAGGGAAAATAATGGAAACGGAAGTGTGGACAATTGGATCCAGGTCGGCACAATGCTCCAAAATGTTATAAACCTGCCTATTTTTTTTTTTTTGTGGTGCTAAACAACTTTAAAAAGCAAAACAAAACAAAAAATACCAACAGTCTGCTGGGTTTGGTGTGGCTTTGGATCACAATCGCTGTACTTATTTCCTAAATGGAAATGGCGATGGTAGACTGAGTCCCCATGAATTGGAGTGGGATAGGGCAGGTGGCACTTGCAGTTTCCAAATGCACAATCCAGAGGGAGGGCAGAACAAGCACAGTTCTGAATCCCCAACATAGCGGTTTCCTTCAAAGCCCCTTCAAATCCTGTTCGCCCCATTATAATAGACGCTGCTTAGATTGGGATGACGCTGCTCCTTGCCTAGCCTCCTCGCTTTCGGCAAATGCGATGGGACACGTATCCGGTGACAACCAACCCTAGGAGAGACCCAGCCGTTCCAATGGAGATGAGGGTGTCCGGACTGATGGGAGCTGAAAGGCAGAAAGAAAGCCAAGTGAAGTCAAGCACAATACAACTCGCTCGCCTGTGCATGAAAACATTAAATATTAAGAAGGCTTTTCTAAACAAAGCATAGGGATACTATTATGGGAGACTGAATTATATATAGCTCTGTGCTCCTCCTTTTAGGTACAATCTATGTTCAGAAGGCAAAGAGATTGTTAGAAATGGCACAGCATTGCTAGTCATATAAAAATACTGTTTGATGAACATGTGAATATTGATAGCACCTGGGCAATGACTGTGAATTTCATGATGCAATACCTAAGGGGTGTGGTAATGGCTGAATCATAACTATGTGAGGGTTATTGCAAAGGGGTTGTATCAGCCAGTGTCCCTTACAGATGATCAGTCAGCAGGTGGCTATAAAATGAGGATGAAAGAATCCATCTTTCTCTCTCCTCTGTGACTCATTGTATCGGTCTATTCTGTATGTGACTCTCTGAGGATCTGATCATTTGTAAATGCAAGTCTGAAAGTGGATCTGTGTATCTGATTGTACATTTGTATAGATTGCAACGGTGAAGAGTAAAGCCTCTGGTTGATTTGAATGGAAACCTAAATCCATGAGTTTATTATACAGTGTGTAGATAAAGTCAGATGCTGGCAGTTGGGTGGGCTGAAGCGTGTTTTTGCTATGAAAGACTCAGATGTATTTTGTTTCCTTCTGGGACACTTGCTTCCCAGAGCGCAGCAGTTCAGTGAGGTTGTGCTTAGGGAACTATAAATCATTTCACGAACCCATCCTGTGACAGAGATATGTTACGAGGTTCTACCAGAGCCGCCATGTAACATTTCCTAAAGTGCCACCAACTAAGCCCAATTCACTCACCATTGGACACAATGACTTGGGCAGTCGCCATGCGTTTCGGACTGGTCTTTGCGACGCAGCGATAAGTCCCTTGATGTTCCGGGCCGACCCTCTCCACAGTTAAGGTGGACCATCCCTCAGCTTCTTCAACCTTGTAATGAGCCGGTGACAATGGCGTTTCTTCCCAATGGATTTCAGCACTGTCTCTGCAGTCTGCCAAGTGGCACGAGATGCGAAGGGATACGCCCACGGTGCCTTGAGGAGGGGTGAGCTTGACAAATGGCCAGCAGCGGTCTTCTTCAAGGGAAGGATGGACCTTAACTGTGGGGAGACGGCCATCATATGTGGGAGAAGGTCTGATGGTAACCTCAGGTCTTGCCGAATCCTTGGTCATGTTCAGCACAGCTGAGGTGGAGTTGCCCCGAGTCTCAGGTTCTGGGGACTTACTCCACATCTCCACAATACGAGAGAGAGGTCTATTTGACACCGTTGAACCGGGGCTCTTGGTTTCTGTTGCAGGGACAGCTTTTGATGTTACGGCAGATGTGGCGGTAGTATGGGGAAGACCATTGGTGCTTGCTAACAATGAGATCTCGGTGGTGGATGGATCTGGATGAACCCCATGACTTGTTCGCACAGTCTCAAGGGTTGAGGTCGCGATGGGTGCTCTCTGCGGAGCTGGAGGCAGATAGATCTCTCATTAATCTATTTATGAACCAAAATATTACCTAGTTTCTCTGAAAAAAGAGACCTAACCTGGAATTAAGACCTGCCCTAAACTTAAGACCTGCCCTGAAAATATGTCCTACCCCGAAAATAAACCCTAACATGATTTTCTGGGATTTTGGAGGATGCTCGAAATATAAGCCCTACTTCAAAAGCCAGAAATGGCATCACGATTGAGAGGAGACATTCTGTTAGGTTCTTCTTTGATGAATGGAACAACAACAACAACAACAACAACAACAACTATTATTATTATTATTATTATTATTATTATTATACCTCACTCTCATCTTTCTACCTTTTTTTTTTACCTTTCTTCCTTTTTGGAGAAGAGTTAACATGCAGTATTCAACCTGTGGACAAGCCAACTCAGGTTGGTTGCATTGTTGTCCCTACACATATACATTAAGCTATAGGGTAGCGATGTGCCCAGATTGTCCCTCACCTTGGAGGCTGATATTGGCCACCTTCTCTTTGGAGAACATCTGCTGTCCGACCTCCAGAGTGGCTCTGCATGTGTAGGATGTGCCTTCTATTGGTGTTGGGACTTCCAGGACGGATCGATACAGGAAGAGCTGCTCTGGGGAGCCCTCCATTTCCTCCTCTTCCTCCAGGGCAGCCTCCAGTCTTCGGGCCCCTTGGAACCAGTTGAGGGTCAGCACTCCGGGAGGGTAGATATGGCTCATGGAGCAGACGAGCTGGGCCGCCTCTCTGGACGTCAGGATTGGAGGCTGGGATTCCACTTGCAAAGTATCTGGGAAGGCTGAAGAGCAAGGCATGGATTAGGGAACTTCTGAGAAACATGGTGGAGTGTCCAGCTCCCATTTTGAAGAAGAATGGAAATTATAATTTGGACACATCTGGGGTGCCCCATTTCTGATGATGGCTTCAAGCTCCAGGTGCATTGGAATACAAACCCCATGCTGCTGGAGAAGTAGCTGAGTTGGTAATCCAACCCTTTAGAGAGGTCCAGAGAGAGCCCTACGTTGACAATGTTAGCTTCTGGAGACCAGGATTGGATTTCAATTTTGGAGACCAGGATTCGGTCTGTTCTGGAGATCAGGATTGGATCTCAATTTTGGAGACCACGATTGTATTGCAAATCTGACAATCAGAATTGGATCTCAATTTTGGAGACCAGGATTGGATTGCAAATATGGAGTCCTGAATTCAATTGCAAATCTGGAAACCAGGATTCAATTACAAATTTGGAGACCAGGACTGGATTGCAAATCTGGAGACCAGGATTGAATCACAAATCCAGATCCCACAATTTGATCCTAGTTCTGGAGACCAGGATTGGATTGCAATTCTGTGTCTTCCTCTGAGGCTGTGTGACTTGTCCAAGGTTGGATGAGCCACACATTCTCCAAGGAAGACCAGTGTGAACTCTGTCTGAACGAAACAACCCCATGACAGATCTGTCTTAGTGTTGCCGTCAACCGGAAACAGCTCGAAGACACATGATGAGAACAACAAATGTGATAATCGGGGTCAGGATCATTCTCTGTATGCGAGATGGGGAGGATTGTTTCAGAATAGGAGGAGAGGCACGGTTTTTCTCCGGACTTACCATACACTTGCAGGTACACTTTGCGCTGGTTTGACTCTTTCCGGCACTGTCCCGCGCAGCGCTTCTCGCCATCCATGTGGACGCTGGCCTTGGCCACAGTCAGGACGCTGTGGGTGCCATTGGAGACCACGTTGCCCAGGTCAGTGTCCAGACCTTCCCATTGGACTTTGCCTCCGGGGCAGTCCATGGAGCAGGTCAACTGGATGGACCCCCCAAGCTCCACCAGCGGGGCCTTGGGGTGGATGGTCAAGTTGGGCATTGGGACACCTGCGTAGAGAACAACAAAGAGGCCCAGAGTGGGCAACGGGCAAGTCGAGATGTAGTTGAACTGCCTTACATAGCAGTGGAGACTTACATAATGCAGTCCAATTTTGGCATTACGGAATTGCGTTACATGGCAGCGGAGACTCACATGATGCAGCCCAGATTTGGCATTACAAATTGCGTTATATGGCAGCAGGGACTCACATAATGCAGCCCAATGTCAACATTACAAAACTGCGTTATATGGCAGTGGAGACCAGGATGATGCACTCCAATATTGGCATTACGAAACTGCGTTATATGGCAGCAGAGATGCACATAATGCAGCCCAACTTTGGCATTATGGAACTGCATTATATATCAGCAGAGACTCACATGATGCAGCCCAATTTTGGCATTACGCAATTACGTTATATCTCCGTGGAGACTCACACGATGCAGCCCAATTTCTGCATTATGGAATTGCGTTACATGGCAGCGGAGACTCACATAATGCAGTCCAATTTCAGCATTATGGAATTGCGTTATCTGTAAGTGGAGACTCACATGATGCAGCCCAATTTTGACAATACGAAATTGCGTTATATCGCAGCATGGACTCACATAATGCAGCCCAATGTCAACATTACAAACCTGCGTTATATGGCAGCGGAGACTCAGATGATGCACTCCAATTTTGGCATTACGAAKCTGCATTATATGGCAGCAGAGATGCACATAATGCAGCCCAATTTCAGCATTATGGAACTGCATTATATGGCAGCAAAGACTCATATGATGCAGCCCAATTTTGGCATTATGCAATTGCATTATATCTCAGTGGAGACTCACACGATGCCGCCCAATTTCTGCATTATGGAATTGTGTTACATGGCAGTGGAGACTCACATGATGCAGCCCAATTTCMGCATTACAAATTGCGTTATATGGCAGCAGGGACTCACATAATGCAGCCCAATGTCAACATTACAAAACTGCGCTATATGGCAGTGGAGACTCAGATGATGCACTCCAATTTTGGCATTACGAAACTGCATTATATGGCAGCAGAGATGCACATAATGCAGCCCAACTTTGGCATTATGGAATTGCATTATATGTTAGCGGAGACTCACATGATGCAGGCCAGTTTTGGCATTACACGATTACATTTTATCTCCGTGGAGACTCACATGATGCAGCCCAATTTCAGCATTACAAAACTGTGTTACATGCAGTCCAATTTCGACATTACGGAATTGTGTTATATGTCAGCGGAGACTCATATACAATACAAAAAAACAGCATTACGAAACTGTGTTACAAGGCAGAAGCTCACACTTACATTTGAACGCATGGAAAGCAACTCGAGCCAATGTTATTCTTGACAGACATATGCTTTAGATTCTAATTGATCAAAAGATAGTACATCTTCCCTTATGTTAGGGATGGTTCTACTTACCACTGTTGCACCAGATGAGGCTGAGCAAGATCCCGAAAGAAAGCCACGCCATTCCCTTATATTTTTCTATGTCTCTTATCTTTCCGTTGCTGAGATAATTCCTTATGATCCAAAGGTACAGAGTGCCATTGCCTCTTAAATAAGTCCATGGCGCCGCCCCATTCCCTGGAAAACAATCCCATTTCCCCTTCCTTTCCCCACACTTGCCTCCTCCCAGCATTTCTTCTTCACCGAGATAAAAAGAACAACAAGAAAAGGGGCAAGAAAAGGCCTTCGACAGAATCAAGAGCTGGAAGGGACCCCAAAGGCCATCCAGTCCAACCCTTTTTTCTGCCAGGCAAGGCGCAATCCAAGCCCACTCAGCAGACGTCTATCCAGCCTCATAGACATACTATTTCTCCATGGATCTGCTAAGGTTTTGGAGGACGAACGGCCATCTGTCAGGAGGGCTTGGATGGTGTCTTTATGGTAGAGAAGGGTTGGACTAAATGGTCCTTGGAGGTTCCTTCATAACAATGGAATATAGTATGGTATAGTATAGTATCTTATAGTATACTATATATATCTTCTTATAGTATCTCATAAAGTATAGTATCTTATAATATGGTATAGTATAGTATCATAGTAATGTAGTATATACATTTATAGTATAGCATATATATCTATGTATAGTATAGTCTAGTCATATCTTATAGCATAGTCTATATCTTATAATATAATAAAGTATCTTATAGCATAGTATCATATAGTATCTTATAATAATACATTTTATTGATTAGCCCTTAGGCCATATCACAATATATAGTATCTTATAGTGTGTGTGTGTGTGTGTGTATATATTATAGTATAGTATCTTATACTATAAAATTTATATATATATATAGTATTATAGTATAGTATAGTATCTTATGGGTGCCCCCGGTGGTGCAGTGGGTTAAAGCACTGAGCTGCTGAGCTTGTTGACCGAAAGGTCGCAGGTTAGATTCCGGGGAGCGGCGTGAGCTTCCGCTGTCAGCACTAGCTTCTGCCAACCTTGCAGTTCGAAAACATGCAAATGTGAGTAGATCAATAGGTACTACTCCGGTGGGAAGGTAAACGGTGCGCCATGCAGTCATGCCGGCCACATGACCTTGGAGGTGTCTATGGACAATGCCGGCTCTTCGGCTTAGAAATGGAGATGAGCACCACACCCCAGAGTCAGACATGACTGGACTTAATGTCAGGGGACAACCAACTATAGTATCTTATAGTATAGTATATACTTATATTTTAAAGTATAATGTGTGTATATCTTATAGTATAGTATAGTATCTTATAGTATAGCATATACCTATATCTTATGATATATATATATATATATATATATATATATATATATATATATATATATCTTATAGTATCATGGGATCTTATAGTATAGTATAAGGTCTTATAGTACTTATATCTTAGAGTACAGTGTAGTATTACGGAATCTCATAGTATAGTATAGTATCTTATAGTATAACATATACTTATTTCTTATAATATAGTAAATATCTTATAGTATAATATCATGGGATAGTATAGTATAGTATATACTTATATCTTAGAATACAGTGTAGTATCATGGAATCTCATAGTATATTACAGTATCTTATAGTATAGCATATACTTATATCTTATAGTATAGCATATACTTATATATAGTATCATGGGATCTTATAGTATAGTATAGTATATACTTATATCTTATAGTATAGCATATACTTATATCTTATAGTATAGTATATATATCATATCTTATAGTATAGTATCATGGGATCTCATAGTATAGTATAGTATAGTATAGTATAGTATAGTATAGTATATACTTATATCTTATAGTACAGTGCAGTATCATGGAATCCCATAGTACAGTACAGTATCTTATAGTATAGTATATACTTATATCTTATAGTATAGTATCATGGGATCGTATAGTATAGTATAGTATTTATTTATTTCTGAAATTTCTATCCTGTCACTTCTCTACCCCCGAAGGGGGACTCAGGACGGCTTACATTTAGTAGTGGTACAATACCACTACATAAGAATTACAATAGTAAAATCACAGTTAAATACAAATAGCAGACATTAAAACAATAAATACAGCATTAGTTAAAACCATAAAACAATATCACAATATCCTCAGCCGTAACGTTAATCCAGTCCATATCCAGCTACAGTGCTCCTTATGTCTGTTGTCCAAAAGCCTGGTCCCAAAACCAGGATTTTAATTTCTTCCTAAAGGCCAGGAGAGTTGGGGTCGACCTTATCTCATTTGGGAGTGCATTCCATAGGCGGGGGGCCACGGCCGAGAAGGCCCTGTCCCTCGTCCCCGTCAGAGCATTTGCGATGTTGACGGCAGCGAGAACAGGGCCTCCCTAGATGATTTTAGATTACGAGGTGGGACATAGCGGCAGATGTGTTCGGACAAGTAAGCTGGGACAGAACCGTATACTTATATCTTATAGTATAGTATATATTTTATAGTATAGCATCTTATAGTATCATAGTATCTTAAAGTATAGGTAAAGGTAAAGGTAGTCCCCTGACATTAAGTCCAGTCATGTCTGACTCTGGGGTGTGGTGCTCATCTCCATTTCTAAGCCGAAGAGCCAGCGTTGTCCGTAGACACCTCCAAAGTCATGTGGCCGGCATGACTGCATGGAGCGCCGTTACCTTCCCGCCGGAGCGGTACCTATTGATCTACTCACATTTGCATGTTTTCGAACTGCTAGGTTGGCAGAAGCTAGGGCTGACAGTGGAAGCTCACGCCGCTCCCCGGAATCGAACCTGCGACCTTTCGATCAACAAGCTCAGCAGCTCAGTGCTTTAACCCACTGCGCCACCAGGGGCTCCCGTATCTTAAAGTATAGTATATACTTATATCTTATAGTATGGTATCTTAGTATAGTATCTTATAGTATAAGATCTTATAGTATAGTATAGTGTATACTTTTATAGTATAGGAGAGATAACTTATAGTATAATGTAGTACAGTATAAGATATAGTATTATACTATAGTATTATAGTGTATACTTTTATAGTATAATAGAGATATCTTATAGTATAGTGTAGTACAGTATAAGATCTTATAGTGTCTTATAGTATAGTTTGATACCTTGCCTATGAGGCTGTCCAAAGTGGAGAGGATAGCATTGACCCTTTGCCTCTTTCTCCTCCCTGAATTCCCCCTCATTTTCTTTCGGAACCGCAATTATTGGACAAACCGACTGATAAGATCTGTCCCTCTTTGCAAGCCAGGCTTTCTGGAATCAGCAGATTTGGGATTCCAACTTTGTCCTGGCAAAAAGGTCTGGCGACTGGCGGCCTGGGCCTCTTAAGTGCCGGAGATCCTTCCCCATCGGAACCAGGCTGAAGACAATAGCGGGGGAATTTTGCAGAGCCTTGGCTCTTTCGGAGGGGGTTTTGTGTATGTGTGTGTGTGTTCCATGGCAGGACTCTCCTGGAAGCGGAGCTGTTTCCCATTGGGATGGAAAGGAAGGCAGCCAGGCCTCCGGGGTCACGGATTCCAGGAAGGCAGCGAATGGGGGATTCCCAAGGCTTACAGGGATTTCATTCCAGTCATATAAATACATATAGGGATACAATTTGCAAAGACAGCAGTTTTCCAACATGACTTATCTATCTCTATCTATCTATCACATTCCTTCCATTCTCAGACATACCTTTCTTATACAGATGACTCTAAAAATGGGGTGCATCTTAGAATCACAGGTGTATCTCACGTGTTTTTGTTGTTGGTACTGAAATTACAGTGGAAGAAATATGGTATATATCAGTGGTTCTCAACCTTCCTAATGCCGTGACCTCTTAATACAGTCCCTCATGTTGTGGTGACCCCCCCAACCATAACATTGTTTTTGTTGCTACTTCATAACAGTCATTTTACTACTGTTATAAATCATAATGTAAATATTAGATATGCAAGATGTATTTTCATTCACTGGACCAAACTGGGCACAAATACCCAATGCACCCACATGTAAATGCTAGTGGGGTTGGGGGAGGATTGATTTTGTAATTTTGGAGTTGTAGTTGCTGGGATTTATAGTTCACCTATAATAAAAAAGCATTCTGAACTCTACCAGCGATGGATTTGAACCTAATTTGCCACACAGAACTCCCATGACCAACGGAAAACACTGGAAGTGTTTGGTGGGTATTGACCTTGAGTTTGGGAGTTGTAGTTCACCTATATCCAGAGAGCACTGTGGACTTACGCAATGGTGGATCTGGACCAAACTTGGCACAAATACTCAATATGCGCAAATGTGAACACTGGTGAAGCCTGGGAAAATAGACCTTGACTTTTGGGAGTTGTAGTTGCTAGGATTTATAGTTCATTACAATCAAAGAACATTCTGAACTCCACCAATGATAGAATTGGCTCAAACTTCCCACATGGAACCCTCTGGCGACCCCTCTGACACCCCTTTGCGACCCCCTCAGGGGTCCTGACCCCCAGGTTGAGAAACACTGGTATATATGGATATATATATATATATATATAGAGAGAGAGAGAGAGAGAGAGAGAGAGAGAGAGAAGTCCAGTTATATCTATCTGTCTGCTTGTTTGTCTGTGCCACAAAGGCTGCTGAAGTGCCCCCCTGTGATGTCACCACTTTAGCTGTTGCTAGGTGAAGTGGCCCTCTGCGATGTTACGTGTTTGGCTGTTGCTAATTTATTTATTTATTTATTTACAGTGTTTATATTCCGCCCTTCTCACCCCGCAGGGGGCTCAGGGCGGATTACAGTGTACACATATATGGCAAACATTCAATGCCAGAGTAGCAGCCCTAGGTACTTTTCAATGGTAAGCAGCACCGGATCTGCTCGCACACCCGGTGGCCGGATGGAGCAGGAACGAGAGGGGCTAGGCGAGGCTCAAGGGCCCGGCCCCTTTGGGAAGAGGATCGCCCGGCAGCGAGGCAAGAAAGCCGAGGCTCCCCCCGGACTGCTAGGGCTGTTGTGAGCTGAGGGGGCGCTCCTCAAGTGGCAGTCGGGGG